GGGGAAGCAGACGGCGCAAAGGGCCGTTTTGGGGGCAAGGAAGGGGAGCGTCAGCTGCACGGTGGGCGCCCCAACCCCTCCCGAAGGTATCGTCGGAGCGCCTGCCCTTCCGCACAGCCGGCGCTCCGACGATACCTTCCCACCGCAGTGTCTACACACGCTGCGGCGGAAGAGTCGCTGAAGGTGTGCCGCCAGCCTTTTGCGGTGCACCTTCGGCGACTTGTGGAAGGAGCGCTATTTTAGCGCTCCTTCCTGGGGGGGCAAAGCTGCGCCGTGGGGCTGAGGTGTGGGGATACCTCGGCCCTGCGGCGCAGCTTCCCGGGGCGGCCCAGGGCCGCCTGTCTGCTTCCCCCCTTAGACTGTCGTACTTTGGACACATCATGAGAAGGCATGAATCGTTGGAAAAGACAATAATGTTAGGAAATGTGGAAATAGAAAGAGAGGAATACTAGATGGATGGACTTTATTAAAGAGACCACAAACATGAGTTTGCAGGCGCTGGGCAGAGTAGTAGAGGACAAGGGGGGCTGGAGATGTCTCATCCATAGGGTTGACATGGGTCAAGACCAACGTGAAGGCAGTTAACAACAACAACAACAACAACAACAACAGCAATAACAACAAGGAATTAAGCAGAGCAGTGGAGAACAGAGTATCTTGGTGATGTCTCATCCATAGGGCCGCCATGAGTCGAGATCGATTCAAGGGCAGTTAACAACAAAAACTGATGTGGTGTGTGTCTGTCAATTGTTGTTGTTCCCTAATGAGGTCCATGGGCAGAAGTGGGTAACAAATAAATATTATTAGTATTATTATTAATTATATCGATATGAGTGTTTTTAGCTTTTATTTGGGCATGTCTTCCATTTTGAGGTACCTTGTCCTCCTTGGCAGTGAGGGCATCTAGTCACCCTGGATAGACAGGTCATCTTGGGTTTTTATCTTGAGCCTGGAAAAACACTTTCTCCCCTTTGCAACTTGCAGATTTTTTACGTTCTTTGGTATGCCACCTTTCTCCCAGAGCCTCCCAGAATCTTGTAGCATCTTTGAGACTAACTGAAAGAAAGAAGTTGGCAGCATGAGCTTTCATAGACGAGACTATTGCATATGCATCTGAGGGAGTAGACTTTAGTCTACAAAAGCTCATGCAGCAGATGCTACAAGATCTCTCTACGTACTGATTCTACAGACTAACACAGCTATATCTTTGATTTCTTCTGGAGTAACACCCAAGACAGCTCCCAGAAGGAAATCCATTAAAATCAACCTGTTTAATTTTAAAAACAGAGGTGTGGTGTAGTTGTTTGAGTGTTGGATAACAACTCTGGAGACCAGGGTTTGATTCCCCGCTAGGCCATGAAACCCACTGGGTGATCTTGCATAAGCCACACTTTCTCAGCTTCAGGGCAAGGAAATGGCAAACCTCTTCTGAACATATCCTGCCAAGAAAATCCCCTGATAGGTTTTAATTTTGCTTTGGTTATACTTTGGTTTTGTTAGGGTCACTCTTTTTCACTGTTCCAATTCCTTAAGATGAGAGCATATGTCCTATTAGGAGCCTGCCCAAGACCTGTGATACTCAGGAGAGGCCTTTTATCATGCACACCACATTAACAGGCACACAAGACAGGGACTTTCTGTGGCTGCCCCAGGTTTTGGATCTGCCACTCTAGAATGCCCCAGACTAGCTGGCCTACTCAAATATAATTTGAACTGAAGGTTTTTAAAGAAAGGGATTTTAAGAGAACTGTATTGTTTGAAATTCTATTTTAAATTGTTTTACCTTTTCAAGTGAGTCTTAAATTGTTTCAATACTGTTAATAGCTGAATCCAGTCCTATTTCAATGTGGATCTTCTGTACCTTTTAACTACAGTCAGCCCCCGATTTTTGCAGGGGATCCATTCCAGCCCCCCCCCCGAAGACTCACTGATATTCAAGCCCCATTGAAGTTAAAGGAGGTTGCCCCTACGTGAATATCTAAGTACATGGATCTCAAGTCCATGAGAACAGAGGGACAACTGTATATTGCAATA